TCCCGCTGAGCACCTTCCCAGGTACCGCCCCATGCCCTGGTGCAAGAAGAGACCCCAGAAAGCCCAGCCATGGGAACCCCTGTTCTCCCTGCTGCTCTTCCTCCTGGCCTCAGCGTTTCCCTGCCTTGCTTCAACTCAGGAAGCACTCCCATGCTCCCCAGGAGGGGTCTGGCGGGGCCAGGGAGGATCCCCACTTCAGCTTTTGGGGAGGTGACCCTCCAGCCTGGCACCAGGAAGCCAAGCATCCCCCTCCTCCCCACCCACAGGCATCGAGAAGTTCAAGGGCCGCTACCTGCACAGCCGAGACTACAAAGATGCCTGGGATTTCATGGACAAGAGAGTCGTTCTCATCGGGATTGGGAATTCAGGGTCGGACCTGGCTGTGGAAATCAGCCAAACAGCCAAGCAGGTGAGCAGCGGAAGCAGGGTCCTAGTGGGCAGGGCAGCCCCCCGTGGGACACTGCCAGCTCCTCAAGGACACCAGGACCAAGGTGCTGGCGCAGCCACCACTCAGTCCTGGCACTCGCTGCATTCAGCAGTGCCAGCACCCCAGCAGTCCCGGTTGTCAGGCAGCAGTGGCAGCCAAGACTCGATCCCATATGGATACCCCACTTTCCATCCCTGAGCCCTGGGTTGGGGCTGCCCCCGCGGCTCTTCCCCACCTCTCCCCGCCAGGTGCCCACTTCTGGCTCCTTCTGCCCTCCGGGTCTTCGCACAGCGCCTGGGCAGCGTGAAGAGGAGTGATCCCAGGTTGAGGACATGACCCCCCTGGGGCAGCCCCCCAGGACCATCACAGCCTTCAAGAGGTGATGCTTCCTTCCTCGCCCAGGTCTTTCTTAGCACCCGCCGGGGCGCGTGGATCCTCAACCGTGTTGGAGATCAGGGCTACCCCATTGACATCATCATCACCACCCGCATGAAGATGTTCCTGAAGAAAATACTGAGCCCATCCATGGTGAGCAGCTTTGCAGAGAAGCAGCTGAACATGAGGTTCGACCACGCGCACTACGGCCTGAAGCCAAAGCACAGGTGCCAGCAAAAGCTCCCCCTGCCCAGGAGGGACCTCCTGGCTCCCTCGCTTGCCCATTTCCATGCTCCCTGTGCCCAGGCTGGGGCTAAGGCATCAGTCCTGGAAACCAAGTTAGTAGTGGTGGTGTGCCCAGGCCATGCTTGAGGGAGCCACCACTGCCTCGGTGGCATCAGTGCAGTAACAGCTGCAGAGCATCCCTGGGGCACCAGCCTCACTGGCAATGAACATCCCTGGGGATGAGCATCCTTGGAGCAGGGAGCAGTGGCTGGAGCGGGACATGAAGCAAAGACACCCCACCCCAGCACCCTGATGGCTCCTTGTGCGTTCCAGGGTCCTCGACCAGCACCCAACCATCAACGATGACCTGCCCAACCGCATCATTTCAGGCAGAGTGCTGGTGAAGCCGAACGTCCAGGAGTTCACCGAGACATCTGCCATCTTTGAGGACGGCACCAGGGAAGACATCGATGCCGTGGTCTTCGCCACAGGATACAGCTTCTCCTTCCCCTTCCTCGAAGGCTACGTGAAGGTGGTGGAGAACCAGATCCCTCTCTACAAATTCATGTTCCCCCCTGACCTGGAGAAGCCAACGCTGGCTTTCATTGGCCTCATCCAGCCCCTGGGCGCCATCATGCCCATCTCCGAGCTTCAGTGTCGCTGGGCCACCCGTGTCTTCAAGGGTAAGCAAGGCAAACCTCCGCTGTGGGTGCAGCCCGAGCCTGCATCACTGGAGCCAGGGCAGATGGTGTCCAGCCATGTTTGGGAAGCAGCAGCCGGCTGTGCCATACTGGTTGCCAGGCTTTTGCCTGAGCAGCGCGGGGACAACCCTACCCTGAGCCCCACAGGCTGCTCCTGCCCATCCTGAGGAGCATGGACATGCCAGACCGCCTGTCACGGCACCCAGGCAAGGGCAGCACTGCAGTGGCCACTGTTGCCAGCGGGGTGCAGCACCCCCACACTGTGGCTCATTCTCCTTTAGGGCTGAACAAGCTGCCCCCACAGCATGACATGGAGGCTGACATCAAGCAGAAGAGAGAAGCGATGGCAAAGCGGTAAGATCCCCCCCAGGAACAGGGAAGGCACCAGTTTGGGCACAGCTGCTCATGGACACCCATCCTGTCCCATGGCTGTGTCCCGGCACACTTGGCCGTGCCAACAGACGGCAGGGATGCGCTCAGCCACGCTACCCCCCCCCCGCTGATCCTTCCCAATGGCGGGCCATCCCAAACCTCCTTGCTGGCGTGCGGGGGCACTCGC